ACCTTGTGCCCCAATTCCACATTTTCCAGGCAAGTTTATGCCTTGGTTCCCTGAGTTATCAGACACTGAAGACTGGGGAGTCTTCCCACAAGACGTGTTTCTTTTCCCCACCCCTAGTAAATCGATGCATCGACACTCTTGCAAATATATCCACCTTGGGTGGTGTCGGTGAATGTCCAGTCATCTCCAAGAGCCTCTCAGAACTGAGTGGACCAAGGCCACTTGGTTTTCACCTTGACCCACAGTGACTGAACCCACAAGCCACCTTTGAGCAGTCCTGGTAGCAACTGGTCAGGGTTCTAGCATAACACCCCAAACTGTTCTTCCTAATGGCAACTAGATAGATCTGACACTAAACTGCTGTACATCTTGGGGATGACACCAGCTTCAGTTTCCTCATATGCAACAGGAGTGGTCAGGAGTGACCATCTTCTTGAGCCTTTGCAGCTGTGTTTCCCTTCTCTCCCTGCAGATGCTGGCAGTGTCTCAGGGAACAGGAGGGTCAGCACACGGGGAGGATTGGCCAGGGACAAACAGGTGATGGGGATGGGGTGATGATGTCAAGGCCTTCTCTCTCTTCAAATGACTGTTCAGGTTCACTCAGGGAGGGTGAGATGGATCTGTGATGTGTAGTTCTTTGCTGCATCTGGCATTGCTTCCTAAAGAGTAAAATGTAATGTTCTAAATTATGTTGAAAGAACCGAAAGTTTTAAAAAATTTCAAAATACTTAATAGTGTAATAATTAACTGTATCTGATAGTGTGCTAAGCACACTTGCATTCCTTATACCTCTGAGCCCCACAAGGCTGTGAAGTGGCGTCATTCCTCCATGTTACTGCTGAGGACACTGAAGTCAGAGGTTGTGACCTAAGGAGTGGGCTCAAGAGCCTGGTACTGAACCCAAATGTGACGAGAACAAAGATAGGGAGGAGCAGGTGGGCCCAAAGGCAGACCTGTAGTCTACTCAGAAGTGATACTCCATATGTGGTTAATTAACTCATAGAAATGGGGATAGGAGGGTGAGCATGGCCTTTTGGGTAAAATGAGTTTATATTTAAATATCAAAATGCAAATAAATTGTGCTTTGCTCAACAATAACATTAATGATTAGAGGAACTTCTTATATAACAAAAAAATTACAGAGGGAACCAGGAAACTAAATCCAACAATGTGCTGTTTATATTACAGATACATAGCAAAATATATACACAAATTTAAAAAATAAAATGCTGAGCTAAACTCATGCAAATTCAAGAAAAGCAAAAGACTTCAATTACGATATCTGGAAAAGAGAAGTTTAAGCTAGAAGCATTAAAGGAGACAAAGAGGGTACCAAAAGGCACTTTAAGTATCACTATTAAATACATATGTCCCAAACATCATGATACTTTTTATTGAAAATGTATGCCCTGCCTATTTCTTAAAAAGAATTTCAGAAAACTGAATGACTAACATAGCAACAATATACATAAAAAGAGAAACGGAAATACATAGAGAAGAAACATAAAAATCAGACTGTAATTAGATCAGGTAAATGAGTGTTAACTGTTTTGGGGTCACAGAGCCCTTTCAAAATATGATAAATGCTACAGGCCTCTGTCCCAGAACAATTCATTCATGCACATCTCCACACAGCTTTGTTCAATCCCCAGGGGTCCACAACTCCTAAAACCCTGCATGCTCAGACTCCTAGGCAGGCCATGGAGTTAAGAACTCTGAAGCAAACAAAAGTTAGAGAAAGTATGGATTTGAATAAAATAATTTAAAAACTGGGTTAACAAATATAACAAATACAGGATAAAAACACATTTTTTTGAGTACACAAATGCCTTATAAAAACTGATAATGTATTCAGGTCCAAAAAAGTTCTGTGGACACTTGGAAATGTTGATACCACCATATAAGAAGAGGTATGCAGCAGTGACCTAAGCATTCATCACTTAGAAATATTTAAAAATAATAAAACTTGGGCCAAAAGGAAATTCTTAATACTACAACAAAAAACACCATGTCAAAACTAATGAAGGGCAAAGCTATAACTCTAAGATAAAAACATATATTACCTACATTTACCAGAAATAGAAAAAATGTGATTAACTATCTCTAAATAATCTTAGAACTGTAAAGTATTAAGCCAAAAAGAGAGCAATAATACAATACTTGGACAACACAATGCATAAGCAAAATCAAAAGTTGGAGCTTTATAACACTCAACAACATAAATCACTGCCATAAGAAGGAAAAAAGGTAAGACAACAAAAAATAAACTAAAAGATGGTTGATTAAAATATTGCCAGGGATGATTACTTATAACTTTACATACTTCGAGGAACTAAACAGAATGAGAGGACTTTTTAAAGAACATAATAAAACTGAAAATAATTTGGCCAGAAGGAACTAGACTCTGCTCATACTCCCCCCCAAAATACCTGGTTTTATCATTTTATCATGTTTATCTATTACCCCTTGGGGAGGAAGGGGATCTTAATCTCCATGTTATACAAAAGAAAGGGAGAGGGAGGGAGAGGAGAAAGTGCATATTTCAAAATATGGGAACAGCATAAAGTGAATTATGAGAAGCTGGGAGTAAAGTGAGCATCTGGGCAGAAGCAGCCTGAACTCCACGGGGCCTGCCTGTTCAGAGGATGAACCAGACTGGTGAAAACACTCCTGAAGAGTGTGTAAAATGACACTTTAAAAATGAATCTGGCTGGCATGTGCAGGGAGAACAATTAGGGACGGACCACAAACAGGTCACAGATATTTGCCTGATAATGGCAGGGTGGGGGGATGAAGAGGAGGTAGTTTTTCAGGGGTCTCTGTCTGATGCCATTTGTCACCCCAACTGCACCTTGGCATACTCTCTTCACTCCTGATAAATGACAAGCCACCTGCAGACAGTGGCCATGGCACCACCAGGTGGTCCAGCCGGTCATGTAGTGGGTTCTAAGGGACAATTGCTGATTTAAAGGTTTACACACTCACGCAGCAGACAGAGCAGGACTAGACAGGGCTGGGTACCTCACGCATGTAATTCGCACACTTTGGGAAGCTGAGGAGGGACGATTACTTGAGCCCAGGAGTTTGAGACCAGACTAGGCAACATAGTCAGACCTTGTCTCAACAACAAAAAAAAAGCAAGGCATGGTGGTGCACAACTGTAGTCCCAGCTACTTGGGATCCTGAGGTGGAAGAATCGCCTGAGCCCAGGAGGTCAAGGCTGTGGTGAACGGGGATTGTGCCACTGCACTCCAGCCTGGGTGACAGAGTGAGACCCTGACTCAAAAATAAAAATTTTAAATTTTTAAATTTTTAAAAAGACAAGTCTGGATAGAGGAGCAGCACGCTCGCACCATGATCTCTCCAGCACAGCACAGGTGTTGTTTTGAAAGCTCCAGCCTGCCAAGCCTACTTATTAAGTAACAATTATGACCTTCCCATGTTTATTTATCAAAACTCCAGAACTGCCACGCTGAGCTTCTGATCTGCTGACCAACCAGCATCACCACAATGAGGTCACATGACTCCAACCATAAACTTTCAAGAAACTTTAAAACAGCTCAGACTGCCTCTTTCTCCACTAAAGAGGGGGAGGACTCAGCACTGTCCCTGTGGCCTAGGATACATGCTTATTATCAGTCAGCCAGCTGACTGTCACTGCCTAAGCCCATACCTGAGGCTGGGGGGGGCGGGGGGGGCGGGGAGAACACTGAGACAGAATGGCCTTCATGCTCTGCTCAGGCAGAGCCAATAGACTGACATGAAGTTGTTGGAGGTCACAATGCCAAGGACAAGGCCACACCCCGACTGTACTCCGTTACACTAGATACACCTGGGGAACTTTAAAACACACCACTGTCGGGACCCCAGTTCTGGGGATGCCAAGTGAATTAGTCCAGGCAGAACACAAGCAATGATATTTTTTAAACAATCTCCAGGTGAACTCCAGTTGGCAGGAGGGGAGAACAGAGAGAATGTGGGAGTGTGGAACAACACTGCTGCTGCAGGGAACTCAGGATAGTGTCCGAGGGGAGTATCCATGTGTGTATGGGAGTTCATATCAGTGGCACATGCAGCCCAGGCCACAAGCCGGGGGGTGGGAGGAAAAGCCTTGTTTAATGAAAGACCCCACTGCAAGCCCTGCTGTTTCAGAAACCAGACGGGGACACTTCTCCAGTCTGTGGATATCGTGCCTCTGGAGGGTGGGGAGAGCAGGGGTTATTCTGAGTCTGTCTTCAGTTGCCACCACCAGGACTGCTCCATTGCCAAAGCACTTTCACACATGGCCTTGTTCTGAATGGGAGCCTCACACCAATCCTTAGATGCATGCAATCAGGTCCCATCACCCCCACTTCACGGATAGGGAAATGGAGCCTCGGGATGTTATAGGACTTGCTCAAGGTCACACAGGTAGGAGGGGATGGAACTGGAATTTGAATACAGACCTTCTGATTGAACCACAGCCTCCTCCAAGGAATCACCCTGCTCCCAATGTCCCCTAACACTAGGGCAGGCATGGTATGGGAAGCTGCACCACCATCAGACCAGGCCAGCAACAGGCCCTCTGATGTCCAAGGTGTGCTGTGGTCTTGGGGGCACTGGGTTTCAGAGAGAGGTTATTCCTAGAGTGCAATTGTGTTCACAGTCCAGGCTGAGTCACAGCCAGACATCAATGTCCTCTAGCCAACAAGACCAAACTTCTATACTCCTGTGATAGCTGTCTGGCAGAAACTGCCCTCACACTAGGGACAGGGCTGAGACCATGCCCAGAGGCTCACAGCCTCACCCCCAGCCCCAAGACCAATTCTTCCAGACCTGCCTTTGTTCTGTTGACCGGTTGTGGTTGCCCCCACCAATGCCCAACCCAGGCAGAAAATTCCATTTTGCTGCATACATGTCTACTTTTGAACGTTTTTCTTCAGCTGATTTGGGCTGTGAGCACAGTTGGTTTCTGTCTTCTAAAAGCGCCAGACTGCAGCCTGCCTTAAAGTGCTCACCTGACATTTTCCTGGGTTTAACTCAACTCTCTCCCTCTTGATGTGTGTTCTTCTGGATTCTGGGAAAAGCGAAGAGAGAACAAAATGACACCTCATAGGCTGGGTGTCAAGTACGAGAACAGGAAAGCTGAAGGTCAGCTCTCCCTCCAGCTCACCCCATGCTTGCCCTCCCCTCCTCGCAGGAGACCTCTGGAGAACTGGTATGCTTGCTGGGCAGCGCAGGGTCCTCCCACCTGTGGCAGCTGAAGAACGCGTCGAGGGCTTCCATTCAGCACTGTTATCTGGAAGGCAGTGGGATCTCAAAGACCTAGCACAGGGGACACAAGCTCCAGCTAGCAAAGGTCTCCTAGCCAGTGCGGGCTCCTCTTTCTACAGCTTCTCCCCAGCATGGATTTTCTGGTGCCGAATCAGATGCGAGCTGCCCCTGAAGGATTTGCCACACAGATTGCACACATAGGGCTTCTCCCGGGTGTGGGTCTTATAGTGCTCAATGAGGGCTGACCTGTGCCGGAAGGCCTTGCCACACTCGCAGACATAGGGCTTCTTGCCAGTGTGAATCCTCTGGTGCTGGATCAGCGCGGAGCTGTGGCAAAAGGCCTTGCCACACTGGCAGCACTCGTAGGGCTTCTCCCCGGTGTGGATGCGCTGGTGCTCGATCAGTGACGAGCTCTGGCTGAAGGCCTTGCTGCACTTGTGGCACTTGTAGGGCTTCTCACCCGTGTGGGTCTTGCGATGCTCGATGAGGTTGGAACTCTGACTGAAGGCCTTCCCACACTCGTCACACTTGTAGGGTTTCTTCCCGGTGTGGATCCGCTGGTGCCGGATGAGGTGTGACCTGTGACAAAAGGCTTTCCCACAGAGCTCACACTCATGAGGCTTCTTTAGGGTGTGGATCTTCCGGTGCTGGCTCAGGCCCGAGCTCTGGTTGAAGGATTTCCCACACTCCTTACACTGATAAGGTCTCTCCCCCGTGTGAATCCTCTCATGCTTTCTGAGGCTGGAACTGCGACTGAAGTCTTTCCCACACTCCCTGCACTCATAGGGCCTCTTCCCAGTGTGGATCTTCTGGTGCTGTGTGAGGGCTGAGCTCTGGCGAAAGGCCTTCCCGCACTCCTGGCACTCATAGGGCTTCTCACCGGTGTGGATGATCTGGTGCCTGAGCAGGTGAGAACTCTGGCTAAAGGCTTTCCCACACTCACAGCACTCATAGGGCTTCTCCCCGGTGTGAATTACCAGGTGTCGGAGCAGGTGGGAGCTCTGGCTGAAGGCCTTCCCGCACTCGTGACACGCATATGGCTTGGCTGGTTGTGGGATCCTGTGAGGTGTGTTAAGTCCTGAGATCCCCCTGTCTGCTTCCACACAATCGCGTAGACTAGACTCCTCTCCACTGTGGATTATCTGACACACACTGAGGTCGGATTTCTGGAGGAAGGCTTGGCTAAATATCTCATCATCCTGGGATCTGGTTCCTGGGGGGATACTCTGATGCCGAACGGGGCTTGAGCAGAGACTGAAGTTCCCCTCATAATCATCCCGTTCCTCATCTTGCTCCCCAAGAGGGATCTCTTTGTAGATCACAGCCATTTGCTCCAAACCTCTCTCCTGAAGAAAGGGGTCCCCCAGGTCCTCCCCTGAGAAAAGTTCTTGCTGTGTCTCTAGCCTGTCCTCAAACACAAAGGTCTTACCAAACTTGGTTGTCGGGGAAACCTCCATTGTGAATCTGCTATCACCCCCAATGGTGATATTTCTTTAAAAATGCTCTTCTTTGGGCTGTACTTACCATTCTCACAATCTGAAAAGAAAACAAGGGACGTCGTCAAAACAGCAAGTCAAGCAACTCCTATGTGCCTCCTTTCTGTGTAGAATCTATGGAGGAAATGACCAAATATGTATGGCACAATCTTGCCCTTAAGGTGATCCCAAATGACTTAGAGGCAAGTTTCATTTATCAGAAACAATTGAAGGCAGATAGACAGACACAACTGAGGGCCACGTCATGGTGTTGAGACTCTAAGAACTGACAGCGTACAGAAAGATGAGCTAAAACAAGAAGTGGAGCCATGGTGGACAAGGGACAAGACTCCAGCTAGTGGGTGACACTGGGGATGGGCTGTGTTGAAAAAGAGAGATGCCAGGTGCAGTGGCTCAAGCCTGTAATCCCAGCACTTTGGGAGCCCAAGGCAAGAGGATTGCCTGAGTCCAAGGGTTCGAGACCAGCCTGGGCTACTTGGTGAGACCTCGTCTCTACAATAAATAAAAAAATTAGCTGGTGTGGTGGTGTGCGCCTGTAGTTCCAGCTACTTGGAAGGCTGAGGTAGAAGGATCGCCTGAGTCCAGCAGGTCAAGGCTGCGTTGGCCGTGAGCATGCCATTGCACTCTAGCCTGGGTGACAGAGTGAGACTCTGACTCAAAAAAAAAAAAAAAGAAAAAGAAAGAAAAGAAAAGAAAAAGAGAGAGAATCCCCCCTACACATCAAACACAATCCCTTGCACCCAAGTCAGAGTCCTGGGAATCAGCCTAGATGCCCTCATTCTCACCCCACCCCTATCTTCCCATCCATTTCTGAGGCTTCATAGATTGATCTCTGCCTCTCTGTCCTCACTGCTACTCTGCAACTCAGGACTCAGTGCCTCCCCAGGCCTTCTTCGGTACTCACTAACCAGCCGCTGACCTCCAGCTTCCACCTGACCTCCTGCTGCATGTTCTACCCAGATGCAAGAGTCAATACCCAAAATGCAAGTCTGAGTGTGGCATTTCCCTGATCTCACAACAGTCCAACTCCTTCACAAAGCCCTTCACACTCAGCCCTTGCAACCCCGTCTCCCACCTCTCTCCCCACACACTTCCAACCTTCCAGCTCAACAGCTCATTTGACTGCGCTTGCCCTAACAGATCCTCCCGTTCTAGACTACTACTTGCTCACTCTTCCAGGGTCCCCCAAAGGATGAGCACCCTTAGACTCTTGACCGTCTCAAGCAGCACCTCTTCACAGCACTCGCCACCATGAGTGTCTATAAGACTCTCCCCACTGTTGGCCTTTGAGCTCCCAAAGGGCAAGAACTACACACCTTCATTCTGGTATCTCCAGCCCCTGACAAAACAGCACAAGCCCAACGTACATAGTGGTTGAATAAATGACCAGATGGAGGAAAAGTCATTTGTTTCTGTGCTATAATTGTCACACTTTTTTTTGGTCAACGAACATTTCATTCAAATAAGTCAATTTTCTAAGAGATGCAAATAAATAAAACAGACAAAAGCAGAGCTGCTACAATTGAAGGTGTTTTGGCAGGGACAAGGAAGGAGGCTGGAATACCCCCACGCAGTCCTCCTGCTGTGGTGGCCCCTGAATAAGCCCCTCAGACCACCATTCAGAAACTTCTGTGCTAAATAAAGGGAAAGTCCTCAGGTGACATATTAATGACAGCAACAGCTCGTATTTATTGAGCACCTACTATGTGCTAGGCACTACTAGATCCTTCACAGCATCTCATTTAATCCTCATAACTCAATATAAAGGTACTATTATCCTTATGCTGAAGCTTAGAGAGTAAACTGACTCAAAACTCATACTACATTAATCAGAATAGTCATGATGGAATTCATTTCTTTTCGGAAATGATTTTTTAAGTGAATTTTCAGCCAACAAACTGGATATGAAAAAGAGCACGGAACTAAAGTATTCTCAAACATTATCTGGCAGTGCACGCAGGTCATGCCTGTAACCCCAGCACTTTGGAAAGCCGAGGTAGGAGAACTGCTTAAGCCTAGGAGTTCAAGACTAGCCTAGGCAACATAGCAAAACTTTGTCTCTACAAAAAAAAAATTAGCCAGGTTGGTGAGTGTGTTTGTGGTCCCAGCTACTCAGAGGCTAAGGCAGATGAATTGCCTAAGCTCAGGAGTCAAGGCTTCAGTGAACTGTTATTGTGCCACTGCACTCCAACCTGGGTGACAGAGTGAGACTCTGACTCAAAAAAAAAAAAAAAAATCTTTGATCACTGCAATGCCTCTACCCCATCCCTCCACTTTGGCAATCCATAACCTCCAACCTTTCCAGCTCTTACTCAGTCTATGCCCCTCCATCTCATCAAATCCAAGAAGCCCCCATTCTCACTCCATTCTCCTCTTCCAGTTCCCCCCTTCTCCTTCTGGCTTAGACCATACAGATAGAAAGGATCCAACTATGGGTATCACTTCAATTCTCACTTTCCAGCATCACATTCCTCACCTCCCAATCCTACTGCAACCAGCTACTAACTCCCGACTTTCTCTGCCAATTCCTTCTAAGAAGTTAAATGTTGCCAAGAGAAATCATACAACTATGTATGGCACCATGACAAATTTCAGGTTTCCAATTTCAGCTGGGATCTCAGTTCTGTCATCCAATGACCTCCTTGCTGCCAAATCCCTCTCAGTCCTCACCATCCCACCCCATTTGGCATTGCTCACCAATACCTCCTTCTCAAAACCCTTCGTTTCAGAGGTTGCAAATTGGCAGCCTAAGGATCCTGCCACAGACACATTTTGCTTGGTTCTCAAAGAGTTTGACTTTTCCTTTTTGTATTCCTTAGTTGCCAATATTTAAAATTCAGTCGGTTTCTGGTTTTCTCCTGAGACACTGGAAGCTGTCACAACATGGGCCCACCCATCTCTTCACATTGCCTACCTGGGTGCCTGAAAACTTTGAGCTATCCCCCACCCCCATTCCCACCCTCTCTCCATCCTCCGCCCCCACACCCTCACTTTATTCCTTTGGGTTCTGAAAGCGTTCTTCCCAATTTTCATGCCTTCGGATTCCTCCTTCTTGGTATCTGCGGATTGCAACCCTTCCGCCACCCACCTGTTAAATCCTGGTGTTTCCAAGTTTCCCTTCTTAGGGGTTTTCCATTCCCACTGTAACTCCTACATACTCAAGTCACCAGCTCTAGATTTTAAAAGTTGGTAATCCTTCATCTGTCGCCAACAACGTGTTCAATGGTTTGGGACCTTAAACCCAAAGGTATGGAACCCCACGCTCCCCAACTCCCTGGGAGCATTCCCCGGGTCCTCCTGCATCTGTCACCCCATCCTGCAGGGAGTCCCCAGGGCCTGGGCACCGGGCAAACCCTCGATGCAGTCAAGGTTTCCTGGCTGGAGGCCCGCGAGCGGCCGCGGACCCGCACACTCTGCCGGGAGGCGACACGGCTCCCCCGACCGGGGACACCCACGCCCGAGTCACCAGAGGGGCAGGTGGTCGAGCGGACTCGGGGCACACTGGCGGGCGCGGGGCCACTCACCTGGGCCGGGGCGGGGCCGCTCACCTGGGCCAGGGCGGG